GCCAGGAAAGCAGAGAAAGAGAGTGGGGGGGAGGGGGATTTCTTTTAAAATTTTTATTTTTAAACATATACTCTTTCCTATTTTTCAATCATTTGTATTGGCTTTAATTCAGAGTTTAAGACTGTATAATGAAGAGACTGTTGCAAAGTAAATTTGAAAAAAGCTTTCCTTTTCATACAAAGGAATACAGGGGGATATGCAAATAAAGAGAAATTCAGTAGGGTATATGAAAAACTCTATAATTTGCTTTAAAAAAATATCTTTCTCATTTTGAGCCTATTATTATTCTGATTTAAAAATCCCTTCATGAAACACTTGTTCTACTGTAGTATTTTTTCTATTTGTGGTACATTAAAAGTAGGTTAACAATAGCTATGCTGTATGTTTTGAGCTTTTTGTGTGGACTATGCATAGTGCAAAACACTAAGGAAGGGTTTATTAAAAAAGAATATAAATTTGTTGTGTGTACACAAAGCACTTTTATTCATAAGTGAGAGATTACAGTGAAATCCATTTAAGTTAATGCCCTTCCCAGAAAATTCAGTGTGAATGAGAAAATACTTTGTACATTTGTTTATCAACCACATAATCCTGGTGTAAAAAAATGTAATTCATCGCTGTAAATTATACTTGAGTTAGTTAATATGTTGGTGAATTTTTCACAAAGCTTTTCTTGAAAAACAACATGTGCAAAACAGTGTCTTAAAACTATGAAAAATAAATATTGTCACTGTCTAAAAAAAGTTAAAATCTCTGGGGAAAAAAGGCAGTGAATGACACTGAATTATCTAAAAATGTAAGCAATTTTTTTCATTAATTTGCAAGTCTTTGAAATGTTGTCATTTATATAAGATGATGACAAAGGTGATATGTGAGTGTCTGCGTCAGGATATCCCAGATTAAGCAGAACCTACTTGAAGTGGCTGTTTAAAATTGCCCCTGATAGAAAAGAGATTTTCTTTATTATGATAATGGATCAGGAAATCTTCTGCTGAGGATTGCAGGGAAGCTTAATCTAAAATAGTACAGAAGTACCATTTAATATAAATATGTATTTTGTTTTTCTCTTGCAGGTGTGATGAATGCAGGCTTTGCTACCATTTTGGCTGTCTCGACCCTCCCTTGAAAAAGTCTCCTAAACAGACTGGCTATGGATGGATTTGTCAGGAGTGTGACTCAACGTCCTCCAAAGTAAGTTAATGCACCCTGAAAATAGTTGAAGTATCCTGGTTTTCAGAGTTTTACTTAGTGTATGGGGTTTTTTATGAAATGATGTGCATAGGTTTGTTCTGGTAGAAGGTCATAAAACAAAGATTTCTGATTGTCTTCAAAATCAGTATTAAAAAACCGAGATCATATGCAAAATGGAAATCTTCTTAATCAGTAAAGACAATTTTACTATGCTAGTTAAATGCTTGTTTATGATGTGCTCTCTGTGAGAAAGGTGTGAGTACAGATACTGTATCAGCATTGATAATATTGACAAGAAAAAGTATTTCAGGAGTATTGCAGAATACAAACCTCTAGGGACGGAGAAAATGCATGTGTTCTCTGAACAAAGGAAGGTGATTTGAATTACTAAATCTTTTTCTTTCACTGAAAATTCATATGAAGGTTATCAATATCTTATATTGATTGGCATGCCTTGTTCAAATATAACATTGTCAAACTAGATTTTTGACATGGATTAGCTCTTTAATAATACTGAAAGTAATAGTATTCTTTTATGGTACTGACTTTTCAAAAAATGAGGATTTTGATTCTTTGCTTGTCTGCACAGAAGCTTCTTTAGCACTGGCATTCTTTTCTGTCATCACCATAATCTCTGAAGAGACACTTTCCAATTTATTTCATAAATGTATTTATGCATCTCATAAGCGTATAAATGCATCTGATCCCTCAGTGTAAAAACAAGAGTATTCTAAATGTCTTCAAGATTTTTTATGTTGCTGCCACTTTGTTTGTATTTCAGAGAATCTTTTACCTAGTAAGTGCCTCAGTATTTGGATACACAGGGACACAGCTGTGATGAGATGTTCTCATATGTTCCTTGCCGGCATTCTTGGATACCTAAACTCTGTCATGAATTTACTTTTAAGATTGGCACATGTAGAATGTTCAGAGAGTGGTATCATTTTTTGGCTTGCTAGTGTCCCTTTCCAATTGCAAAAATATGTTATTCAGTTTCCCCCTGGGGGATTAATCAAATTGTTCTTTTGTAAGGAGGTAGGGAGACAGACACAGGAAATTAGCTGTCCACCACAGTTTGGACTTCAAGCAGTCTTTCTTGAGTACCACTTACATGCAAGAGACATCCCAAGAGTGAATTAAAACTGTTATTGAATTTCTGTCACCTGCTTTAAGTAAAATGGGTCCTGATAACATGAGTTAAAATCTTGTGTCTCTTGTGTTCTTGACTTACAAGTAAACAGAAAAATCCAAAGGTTTGCAGTTTTTAGTTGTGTTTTTCTGGAGATTAGTACATTGTGTATCAGGTACGATTTTTTAGCTACTTTATGAGTTAAATTAATTATGATGGACTTCACTTCCTGCAGGATGTGTGTTAATTCTAAGGTGTGTTGAAAAATAGAATGTTTTAAAGAGTAAACTAATTTTTTCAGTAGAATGGTTATACATTTTGTGTTAATCAGTGATTATTACAAATTTTAAAAATGTTCTTGTGTCTGATTTTCAATCATAAAGATTTTTAATGAGTAAATCTAAATAAAGTCTCTTGCACTTTCAAGTACAGGCAAATGGAATTGCATTTGAGGGAATATGTGATGAATATGAAAGATACTGAAAAAATTGTCTTATGGGGACTCCTTGTGGTTTTGTTTAGTCACTTTCATGTAGCTTTTCTAGAAAGCTGTGCAGGGAAATTACTCTGATAAAGTTGTATTGCCCTATATGTTCCCCAAAGCCTTTTTTGATAGCTTTTTTCTGTTTTATACTATGCAGTGTAATAAATTCAAAAAATATGATAGCAAATTAAACTCCTTTCAGCCATAATGTGAGCCTATTTTTAAAGGATTAGGGCTTTTTCTTGTCAGCACTTCATAATTTTCAAATTCTTTGTTCTGCATGGCTTTAGGATTGTGTTTTGTATATCTGTGATTTTTCACAGACAGGAGGAGCTGATATGATAAGGCTTTTTCTATCCCTCCTCAGAGGGAGTATTCCCTCAAATGTGTGCTTGGAGCTCAGAAGTGAAGAAGTGTAGAGAAAGTTGGGTCATTTCCTGCACTCTGCCTGACCTGTGGATGAATTGCAAGCCTGAGCTACTGATGATTTCAGTCTCAGTCACTCACTGCATCCAATTTTTGATGTGTCACAGGGAAGTTACTAGTATAGATTATAGCAGCAAAATGGGATTGAATTTTCTGCTTTGGCCAAGGAGACTATTGTTTAGTTTTCATTCTTTTGACTTTGTTCATCTGTTTTGGTTCAGTTTAAATCCCTTATAATACATGTTTTAAAATTCCCCAACAACATATCTTCATTAGCACTATAGAGCCTTGAAAAGAATTGCTAGGTAAATGACACTGTTTCAATGACAAGAGAGGTCACAGTGCTGAGCTTATAATGACTGTTAATTCTTACTTCTAATTATGAAATTCAATTTGAGATGTTTAGGAAAAGTTGTATTCTGCTGACAGCAAATAATGCTATTTTATTTTCAGATTTTGCCAAGCACTTGCAAGTGTCAGCAGTACAAAGCATGTAATTTAGCAGTAATAAACATGTGATTTAAATTGTTATCTGGCACAGACATTGGACACGCTACTTCCATTTTGCTCATCCTAGTTGCAGAACTCTCCAGCAATTGTGTCAGTTTTTCCACCAGCATAGCATATTCCCATATTACCCTGCCTGTCAAATAATAGACAGACAGTGACTTTGCTGTAGGGCACGAGGGCAGCAGCTTCTCTGCTGGTAATACTTGCTGTCACTTCTTTGGAATGGGTGATGCTCACTACTAAGGTCTGACAAGCTCTCTCATCTCAAAAACATTATAGATTTTGTTATACCACATGAAAGCTGAAATAAACTTATAGGGTCTCCATTTCTGTAACACTGTCCATTCACCCCGTGAAGGGATTATAGTGCAATTTCAGGATGCCAAACAGCACTGTAAATCATTATTTTCCTGGTAGTTTTTATTAGTGGTATTCAGGCTTAATATAGACACTTGTTTCAACTTGTTTTAGTTGAATTTAAGGTAAATAGAATGTAAACCAAATAATCCAATATCATGCCATGGTAATATTTGGTAAGAATAAATGTGGTGTGACCGTTTTTTCAATTATGTACAATAAGATCTTACTATGAGGTCTCATTATTATTAGATGTGCACCTCTTTCTATTGCCTTGTAGTGAAGAAAACCTGTTTAAATATATCCTCAAATTTTAAACTTCAGCAAGGACCAAGACAGTAAGGAGTTTAAACATGTTATCATGGTGGTTACACTGACCATGCTAGTTAAGTTTCTATCTGCTCACCTTTGCATGTAATCTATTTTGCAAAACACTGCAGAGTGTATGTGTCAGGTCATTATTTGAGTGCTGCAGGATCAGCTGCCTCATCTCTAGACTTCTGTTTAGTTTCCTTTTATTTAATGTCTTTACTGTACTGCATTTTTTCAGTGGAAATAAATTGTCAGTATACATGTCAGCACGGAATTCTCATCTAAACCCCTCAGGAGATATTTTCTGGAACTGCAAATACACAACACACCAGCCCTGGCAAGTAATATATTTTTGTACACATTTTGTGTTCAAAAAAAAATCTTGGATGATTTTGCTTATTAGCCAGGTAGAAGTATTTCTTTGGGTATATTTTGCTTTCACACAGTGAATATGCAAATGTATTTGGACACTGTAATATTACATTATTAATGTTTGAAATAATATTTTAAGCTTAAAGGAATTTTTAATATGTAAAATGTATTTCAAACCTTTAAATTTGCTCAAATGAAAATAAAAAGTGCACAATTCAATTCTTGTAGTCCATGGAATTTTATTCTAATCAGAAACAAGGTTGGTGATTAAGAAAGTCTGTGAGGAGTGCAAAAGTGTCTGATCTACTCTTGCATTGTGCAGGTGACAATGTCATTATAGTTTATGGAATTTTATCTTTTTCACTATGACTTTTCTCCAGACGTGGGAAGCATTTCTTCACACATGTAGTTTCACACAAGTGTGTTGAAAATTAAACAATGAACCCAAAGATGTAATGTTAACCTCCCAAAATGTAGGAAATACTGAAGTTGAGGTGGCGTGCAGTGCTTTAAGTGCTTTTTTGGCTATGTGTGACTTTGCAGCCTTTAATCACTTCATGCTATGATTTTTTAATTTTCTTTCATAAGACCCCTGCCTTTTCTGATTTAGCTGTTGGGGGTCACTAAAAGGGATTAATTTGGGTTGAGAATTAGGAGAAAGTCTGTCTTTAAGGTTTTCAAGGCATGAGAACTAAAGCAGTCATTTCAGAACTGGGGAAAAAAGGAGTTTGACCTTATGTTTGAAGTAGTTGAGTTGTTACAAACAAATTGAATTTTATCTTCATCTCACTTTAGAGCTGCATGAGTGCTAGGCAAAATTAACATTTTCAAATGTTTGGTAATTTCTTCTCCTTGTTTACTCTTGCCCAACTTGGATCCCTTAGCCGAATGTGTAAAAATGCTGAATTTTCTGAGCTGAAGTGGGAGACAGTGTGTGTGTATACACAAGAAAGCCCTATTTGAATGTAACAGATGAGGTTGGCATGCAGTAGTAATATAGTGCTTAATCTTGCCCTAAATATGTTTTGCATGTGCTTATTTTGTCATTCAATGCAATGCAATTTTACATAGTTATATCTAAAATACTTTTTAAAACTATGAAAAAAAAATCTTTACAGGTCTTCTGAATTAATTCAGACTTGCTTCAGTTACATATTGTGACAAAGGATGGCCCTCCTTTTGTCACCTTAAATCACAGAGACTGTTTCACCTTCTTTTGAGGACAGAACATAGAAGCAAATGTACTGCCATCATGGAACCCAGCATTGCAGCTGAGAAATGATAAAAGTATACTCCTAATAAATCTGCTGGCTGCTTCAAGAAGAACATTATATAATGGGAAAATATGTTCAGTTTTTATGCAATATTTTTCAGCCAGAACTTAGGAGTATTTTAAGGTAGTTTACAGAAAAATTGCATAGTGGAATTCACTAACTGTATATATTCACTAACTGTCTTCTACAGATGTGAATATTATGATCTATGTTATGATATGGGCATAAAGAATGATGGAGTTAGACATTTTTGTGTTTATTTATGTATTTTAAAGTTTCTTGACGAGAGTTTAATTAGCACTTTGGTTTCCTGTGTGACGTAGAAAGAAAGATGTTTTTTAATATAGCAACTGGATAATATTTGATTATTTTGAAGTCATTGTTGTCTTCCTAGGTTTGTGAGGAGCAGTAAAACATTGTCACTGGAGTGATTGCCTTAAAATTGAGCAAGAGAAAATAAACCAAATCTGTAAGGCCATATGAAAATTTTACAAGTCTTTACACCACTTATGCCCTGTTTTAAGAACAGCACAGAAAGGGGTTTCACTACCAAGATGGTAAAAACAAAAGGGTGAACTTTTAGTGTATTGCAATATCACCTGGCTGAAGTATTGCCAAATGTGTTTTAATATTTGCTTCCCAGGTATCATATTTTAAAAAAATGAGTTGGCACAGACTCTGTTATTTTCTGGCACACAGGTACAATGCATCTATGTAATGAATAATTTATACCATAAAATGTTCCAAAAATAATCAGCCTTGAAATTAACTTAAGTTGGAACTTGATTTATGAATAGTGAATAAGTTCGTTGGTAGTAAATCCCCAAATTAATCCAAAAACTCAGATGCACTTAGTTGGCAGAAGATTCCCATAGTCTAGGTGGGAGGCTTAGTTTTTAATAAAAAAAAAAAGAAAAAAAAAAGGTTAAGCACTGGAAAGAATTTGTGGAACAGATGGTTACCTTTAGTATTTTAATTCTTCTCTGCATCAAAATCAATTTTACCAGTTCAAATATTTCCTGGTGCTGACTGCCAGGTCCTCATCATGGGCTTCTAGTGCTTGTACTTTTTGGGTGCAGATTATCTGTATTAAAAAGATAGCCAGAAAATGAAAAACACAATATAGCATTGTCTTTCACATGAAAAAGCATTGTCTGAAAAAGTCTATCTTTGAAAGATGATAGTGCAGCTAATACCAGCCAGATGTTTAAAGAATGAAGAAATTGGAATATTGGGCTATTTTTTAAAATGTGTTTCAAAAAATGTGTTTCAAAATTGTTGTTTCAAAAGCAACACCAAATTTCTGATTCTGAAAGATAACACTGGGATAGATCAAAAAAGTAATCTAAAAATAAATTGCCAATTAGGAGTGCAAAGTAAAATACTTTTTTTTTTTTTGCATTAAACTTTGACAAAAAACCAACAGTTAAAATGAACCTCCTAAGAGTCTCTTTTCCCTGTGGTATGTTTGTAGAAAATTGAGATTTAAATATGCACTGCAGTTTTAAATTACACTTTTTTGTAAAAAAACAACAACAAAAAAAAGAAAGAAAAAGAAAAGAGCCATTTTAATGGGACTTGGTCCAAAATTTTTTTTCGTTTACAAGTTTGTTTTCTTCCCTCTATTTTTTGTTATGCAGAAGAAGGAACAAATCCCTTGCTGCTTACCTTTATTTGCTCTTTTTCATAAACAACCCAGCAATACAGAGTTTTCTCCAAAGCTGAACATTTGCACAGTGTTCTTCGTCTTAGTGTGAGAGCAGTAGTTCTTCACAAGCTGCTCCATCCAGCTTGTGTCCCTCTCCACAGGGTGCAGTCCTTCAGGATCTGACTGTTCCAGTGGGTTCCTAAGTCCTGCCAGCACACCTACTCCAGACTGGGCTCCTCTCTCCTTGGGGACACAGCTCCTGCCAGGAGCCTGATCCAGCACAAGCTTCCCACAGGATCACAGCCTTCCTTGAGCATCCACCTGCTCTGGTGTGGGGCTCCTCCATGGGCTGTGGGTGGATCTCTGCATCCCTGTGATCCTCCATGGGCTGTGGGTGGATCTCTGCATCCCCGTGACCCTCCCTGGGCTGCAGGGGCACAGCTGCCTCACCATGGGCTGCACCATGGGCTGCAGGGGAATCCCAGCTCTGGCACCTGGAGCGCATCCTGCCCCTCGTTCTACTCTGACTTTGGTGTCTGCAGAGCTGTTCTTCTCACTGCTTTCTCCAGGTGCTGTTGTGCAGGTTTTTCCTGCTTCTGAAGTACATTATCCTTGAGTACATTATCCATGTTGCTGATGGGCCCAGCCTTGCCCAGCAGTGGGTCCCTCTTGGAGCCAGGTGGCGTTGGCTCCATCAGATGGAGGAGAAGCTTCTGGCAGCTTCTCACAGAAGCCACTCCTGCAGCCCCCTGCCCTGCTGCCAAAACCTTGCCACACAAACACAATACAAAAATGAAGCAGATTTATGTTTATGAGGCTTTGTATTATGTAAATCAAATTATGACTGAAGTAGTCCTACTTTTCAAAAGTTGTCTTGATCATTTTGCTTTGTTGTGATGAAAAATACGTTACTGAAGTAAAAAGCTGGATGGCTGAAATTAGAAACAAACTCATTCATTAGCTATTGCTTTGGTTAAATACACACCCAAGTCCAATTGCCAGTGGAACATTTAAGAGGTATCTGATTAACATAATACTGGAAACAAATCATCAACAGTATAGAGGTTGTACATTTTTAATGCATGTAATCTAAACATACACAATCTAATATTTAATTTACTAAAGCTCTAGTTTATGTATAATAAATATTACTTACTGTAAGGCAATGAATAAGGAAGCAAAATCTCTTCATGGGCAGCTGTTCAAAATGCTGCTGCTACTCTGTACCTTCTTTAGGTTATGCCTCTAAGAAAATCTGCTTACAGTTATGGTTTATCTGGGTAATAGCTCTGCTGCTGAATCGTGACTTACTCTTCCTAAGCCATGACAAAATGAAATTACAGCCTACGTGGCCTGTTGCTGTAGTACTGAGTGGCAAGAAATCTCTGCTGGGAGCTAGCTGCAGTTGAGAAAAATCCAGAAATCACCTAGTGTCGTGATTGAAATAAAGCCACCAAATGTGGTTTTATGCTAACACAGCGTGAGAGAATAAAAAACAAAAGCAGTTTTTGAGCTCTGAGCAGCACAGCACAACAGGAAGATTTTATACATCCTCTTTGGTGTGCACCTATGCATATTCTCAAAGAATGTGAGAAGGCTGAAAGAGGAGTAGTGTGTGGGAAGGGCAAAATAAACAAGGTTACTTGCACCTTACAGAACTGTAGGCTTTCTCTTTCTTGCTTTTGAAATTTGATTTCTAGATATGTGCAATATTGGGAAGCATTGTGACAGTGAATTTTGCATATTGAAGATGCTATATTGAAATGTAAAAGACAGGAAATATGGTTTTTAATGCAAATTTTCTCCATTTTACATTCCTTTTCAAGCGAAGTCACAAAAGGAAGATACATATGTGTCACAGTTGCTTCATGGTAGCTTCCCAAGAATCATAGCTTGCAGCACTGATGTACATTCAGATTTACTTTGTCAATCCAGTTCTCTTTCTACTTCTAGAGTTCCTAAAATAAGGAGCTCTTTGGGTATTGATCATTAGGGACTTCATGCTGACAGTGGAGCCATAAACAAATTTAGCAATACATTGTAATTGATCATCACTACTTCCAGTTAATACTCGATTTGGAAATTTAATTGTTATACTTACTTAGTAGAATGTGTTGAATTTGGTAATGTCTGGGAAAAAAAGTATGAATAAAAAGCCTGTAACTGACTTGAATTTTTAAACCTTTTGGATCCTGATTAAATTCTTGAGTTAGATGAGATAGGCTTCCAGGACAGCAGCATTAAAAAATCCTACATTTCCATTGTGAGTAATTCTTGAATATTCATCAAGAATCAAGCAGACAGCGGGAGATTGCAAGGTGTGTGCTTTGCAATGACATAAACAGGGACTCCTGATGTGCTAAGGTATGTCTGGAGGCTGGGGGCATCCTGTTGCACCCTAATGTTGCAAAGTACTGCAAAATCTGTTTCTTACAGATTTCTGAGATAAATTTCTTAACCTAGGAATATATTTCTTGTCTTATGTTTTACATAGAACAAGAAGGTATGTAATTAAAGAAGAATTATATATTGTAATTCCTCATTAATCCAGCTTTATTACCTTGCAAATTATTTTAGCACATCACCTGTAATCATATTCTGTATGACAGAAGAAGAATTAGATCTTTAATTGTTGGTCTATGTATAAGATTTGAACACATTATCATAGTTACCCAATCAAGTGCTCATGTTTACTCTCAAGGTTGATTTTATTTTCAAGTCTTTCAAAGAAATGTAGCCATATATGTCACTTTAAGTAATGTGTCACTCATCAGTATAAATTACTAATGCTGCCTGGGCCAAATCTAATCATATTGAACAAGGAAAGAGAAAAGTGAGAGAGAAAAAAACAAAAAAAGTGCCATTTTATTAAGTGCTAGGTAAGTAATGGATTTTAGTACAGCTAAGATTTGCTTTTTGTCATTGTGTTAGATAGTGGAAGTGAGGTTCAGTTGCCATTCTGAAACAGAAATTCTCTTAGTAGTAGCCACATTTAATCACATTTCCCAGAAGACAGCTGGATATTGCCAATTAGTGCTGTGTCAGCCACTTTCTCTGCAAAGGAGTGTCTCATCACTTGGATTTGAGCATTCTGTAGCAGAAAAGTTCCATCCTCTTAAAATTGGCTCAGCAGATAGCTTGTGTGGGAATATAACTGCAAGAGCATTACAATCAGTTCTACCAAGAAAATGCACAATAATTATATGGAATTTTAAGATGGTTTTTGAAAAGATTTTCACAAAACATTTAAAATGTATAGAGCATTGTTAAATTCTAGTAGCAATTAAGTTTATCTTAGATGTTTTAATAAATATGGCTTTGGTAACCGTTGAAAATTATTATCTGGTTCAGTGGTTTGAAACATCTTTGTGCATGTTTGAAAAGTCTTAAGTATATTTCAGCTGTGACAAACATTACCAAAAGATTTTATATGTGGAAAACCTTGGAATCTGTAGATATCAAAATTTTTTCTAGCTACTAATCTCATGAAGACGGAAGGGCAGATGGTATCCTTTCAGATGTGATATAAATAGCCAAAGAAAAGTGTCAAAAAGAAGATAAAATAGCAAGATAACTCCTTGTCTATGGAAGGTACCCACAAGTGTACTTCGAGTGAGTTAATCACATCACATACCTATTTTTGGAAATAGAAGGGTGTCAGCAGAGTGATACAGTCATTGACACAATGAATATTAAATCTGTAACCAGTCCAATGCAATAAATAAGGATACATATGAGGTACTAATATTTACAAGCACATTTTGTATCACATGAATATGCATTTGCCCTACCACATTCTCCTACTGCATGATATTTCCAATTCTTGTTTAGTTAAATGTATTGCACAAGACAGGAATTGCAGAACACAGTGATGTTCTAAATACTTTTGTAACTTGCTGGTGGTAAGAAACTTCTTGAAGGTCTTTAAAATCTTTGTTTTCATGTAATGATAACTTCAAGAATCTTAACATTTAAAGGTAATTATGAGAAAATACAAAAAGATTGAGATTTGGGAGCTGTAGTCTATTAATCTGTTAATAGTTCTCTCACTGAATGAGCTATTGACCTGTGATTGTTCACGTGCTTTCTGGATATAGCATAGACAGAGACTGAAAAGCTCCTGTAAATAAAAATAGTAAAATTGTCAGAAGACAATAGATATGCTGGCTAATAGACAATGAATCATTTTACCCACTGACTCATCCCTCCCTGCAAAACAACCTGCTTCAGCTAAAGAACAGTAAAATGGTTTAGGCATTCCCTTGGGGATATTATTTTGAACCCTCATAAGAAGAGGAGGAGGGAAGTGAGCTGAGATATTCCCTATGATATGGCATGTGTTCACCAGTTAATTCAGGGCAGCAGTCAAACCATTGTCTGAAAATAAGGCATAAAATATGTCTGCCTCTCTTATATTTTCTCTTTTAATTTGGGAAAAATTAAAATGGACAAAAGTGGGGACAGAGAGTTTCTAGTGAATCTGAGGAGGAGGAAGAGGGCCTGTTGATGATCCAGGGTTACACTGCTGTACTCTGAATGAAGCTAGTATTTAAAATACCCTGTTATTTTGGAAAATCCTGTTACTAGCTTAAATGATCCTACATTCTGGTATGCTGATTTTGATGGATTTTATTTTGGTTAAGGTCAGAAATGCATTTTTGAAAAGAATTACCAAGTTGCCACCAGTGATTCTGCTTTGTTTCGTATTATGGAGTGGTTTTAGGAGTGCGCAAAGTGAGTTTCTGTCAAGGGGCACTAAAGCCTAGGATCTCTTCTGACTGCTAATGGGCATGCTGTCTTCATGACCAAACCAGCTGTATCTTTGAAATATGTGTTCTGCATCTGGCTGGTCCTCAACACCAACTGCTTTGCTCTAAAGGGCTGTTCCTGTCACACCACAGTTTCCTGGTATTAAAGGTATATTTGTGTTTCAGTTTCATCTATTAAAATTGTGGGTTTTTTCCTATTTTGATAAGATAATTCTGTGGAAATCTGTATTAGTAGTCTCAAGATCAAAAGCCTAAAAATTAACGCACAGATCTGTATTGCTAGGGTACCAAATTTCATCATTTGTCCATTTGTATAAGCACTGTGTGCTTTTAACTGAAAGCATCTGATCTACAGTGATAAGGAACCAGATTTAAGAGTAAGGGACTTGCTGTATGTTTTCTAGTACAGATGAGAAAAAAAAAGGGATTTTTGTCTGGTAGGAGTAATCTCTAGGAAAAAAACACCACTGGGAAAATATAAATATGCTTCTAGGAATGAGGCAGTAAAGTTGACATTTTGTGTGAATTTAGCCTCGTCATTCCATGTGTCATTTGCAGTGTTCTTAATTAGGGAGGAATGAGGAATTTCCAGGCCTTTATGAGGGTACTTTAAAGCTG